CGGGGGGGGGGGGGAGGAACAGTCTTCTGCCTGGATATTTTGGCCGCCTGCACCAGTAGAGGTGTTGGAACCAGCAGGCTTATTGTGCCATAAGGCACCAGCTCCCACACGCGCTGGTCCAGGCAACTGACTGTTTGTGCTGGGGGTTTTTGCGGGGATCAACTGCTGCAGCTGCCCAAGCCCGGTGTACAGTGTAGGAGATGCTGTGACCTGGGTTTTTCTTAGATCTTTTTGCATAGACATTAGGGCTGGAAGAGACCTCAGAAGATCAGAGTCCAGCCCCCGCCCCAGGGGCAGGAAGTCAGCAGGGAGCATAGGATCCCAGCAAGATAAACAGCCAAATGTCACTTGAAGGTGTTATCTCCGGCCTGCAGCAGCTGCTCTGCCGTGTTGCTCTGGGTTGGAGCCCTGCCGCGGGGGCTGTGGAGTCGGGAGCTGCAGGCACCGGGTGCCCAGAGGGGCTGGGAAGGATGGGGTCACATCTGGAGACTCGAGTCTCCATCTCCAGTGGCTCCTGGCAGAGACCGGATGGCATCGGGCTGGGACAGGGACCGTGCATCCTGCCCTGGCTGTCCCCGAGGTGTTAGACCAGGTTAGACGCGGTCTGAGCTGGGCCACACCAGGCGGGTTCCCCCGGGAGCGGGGCCTGGACTAGCTGTGCTCCCCCAGCCCGGCAGGGCTAGGATCCTCCCCGTGCAGCGAGTTGGGCCACATGCCCCTGGCAGTTGCCTCCACCACCACGGCTCCAGGCAGCCCGTACTGCCCCGGGCACATGGGCTCACGACGGCAGCTCTGGGGTCCCTGCCCAGTCCAGCGCTGTTAAAAATTAACCCCAGAGGGACGCAGGTCTCAGACCACTGCCGCCGGACTCTTGCTATCGGGACGAGCTAATGGCAGCACGTCCAGCCCTAATCAGTGTTGTTGAACCATCTCCCTCGATCCCCCTGGATGGAAAGAGCTGCATCAGCTGCTTTCTTCCTGGTGATGGAGCAGGTGCATCGAACGCTCCTGCCTCGTCTCTATCGGTGTTCGCAGCTTTACTGCCTCCGTCTAGGGCTGCCGGGAGCCCCTTTGCTCCCCAAGCAGCTCCCATGGGCTTTTCCTTGATGGCCTTTAGCTTCCTTTACCAGTGCCCTGCACTTCCTAACCCTGCGCTCATCTTTCAGGCCCACGGGGACGTGAGGCCGTAATGGCCCAGTACCGCATCCGGCCGTACAAGGATGGGGACTATAAAGCCGTGCGTGATATCTTTGCCGCAGGCATCATGGAGCAGAGCTCTGCCGCGTTCCTGCACCTGCTGACATCCCCGTGGACTGCCCTGCTCCTCCCGAGCCTTTTCTTCCTCGTGCTTGTGGCCTCCGGGTCCGTCCTCCTCGCCTTGCTGCCTGTTGCAATCGTCCTGGCCGTGGCCTGGGTTTACGTCCGGTTTTTCAGCACCGACTACGTGCAGCTGGCTCTGCGCACTGACCTGCGGGACATCCGCGGCACCTACCTGGGGGCTGCCGATACCTGCCTGTGGGTGGCCGAGGCCGGCGGGGCCGTGGTGGGGCTGGTGGCTGCTGTCCAGCCACAGGACCCGGCGGAGAGGGGCACCGCACTGGAGCTGAAGCGCATGTCGGTGCGGCGAGCATCCCGGGGCCAGGGCATCGGCCGGGCCCTTTCCAGGACTGTGCTGCAGTTCGCCCAGGAGCACGGGTACCGGGCAGTCGTTCTCTCCACCTCCGTGGTGCAGCGCGCGGCCCAGCAGCTATACGAGCACCTGGGCTTCCAGCGCGTGGCAACCAAGAGCCCCTCGCTCCTCGCCCGCCTGCTCCACCTCTACATCATCCGCTACCACTACGACATCCCCGCGGTGCCGACACCACGGCCCCCAGTCAAGGCCTGCAGCGGGTCTCCCTGCCATCGGGGTGGCCCCTAGGAAATTAACAGGTACCGCAGCCACGCTGGGTGTGCCCGAGCACATGTCACGTAAGTACCCAGCTCCAGCTGGGACTGAGCTCCATCCTTGCACATGACCCTGCCGGCACCGGGTTCCCCCACCCAGCACTGCCCACCCCAGCCCTCCCAGCACAGGGAGCCCCATTGCTCCAACCTCTGAGCAACACGACACAGTCGCCCCGATGCAGCCCCAGGCATCGCCCCCGCCCCTGCCCTTGGGAAGGCAGGGGGCCGCAGCTGCCAACGTCCTGCTGCTGCCAGGGGGGTCGCGGGTGCTGCAGAGAGCCCAGGCCCCAGCCGTGCCCCCCTGCAGAGGAAGGCAAAGCCCCCCAGTGTGCACCAGTCTGAGCAGGGGGAAATCCCTGCCTGCCCCAGTGCAGCGCGGGGCTGAGCCCTCCAGCCAGGACCCTGCGGGGTTGGTGCTGCCGGGAGCATCGGCACAGCCCGGTCACACGCACAGCTCCCAGCCCAGTGTGGGGCTACATCGCAACTCGCACCCCGTGCTCAGGACTGGCTGAAACAGTGGACAGCACACGGTGAGCCACGTCTGTGCCCAGGATCCGTGTCGCTCACCCATCCCACCATTGCTGCTGTGGTTTGGGGGCCCCGTTGCCTTGCTGCTGCCAGGGAAGGGTTAGGGCGGCACCAGGCAGCTCCCGGCCGCCCAGTCAGGCATCCAGGGACAAGGGGCAGAGTCCAGGACCCAGCCCTGCTCCCCCACCCAGGGCTCTGCTTTCCCCAGCCCGGAGTCTCCCGGGGAAGCAGCTCCCATCCTCACACCCCTGCCAGGTCAGTGGGGTTCATAGGGACCCCCCGGGGTGGGACATGGCCATGCAGCCTCCAGGTCCCAGCCAGGCTGACAGGGGACAAGGGGCAAGTGGGATGGGGCTGCTCTGAGACCCGTGGGTGGTGGGATGGACCCGGAAAGAAGCACCACTGAGATGGGGAGCTGGGGGGAGCTGGCATTTAGAGGGACGGGGACCCCGGCAAGGCCAGGCTCTGGGTGCAGGGAGGCCGTGGGATGCTCCCCTCAATGTGGAGGATGACCCTGGGCAAAGGTACTGGGGAAACATTCAGGAGAAGCCACTTGTTCCCTGCCACCGCCCCCACCGTGGCTGGGGCAGGGCCCTGCTCTCTACCCGGGCACCTTGCACTGGGCTCTGGGGTGGTTTCGTGCCAAATATCCGACGATCTTAGCATGTGCCATGAGAGCACCGTGGCTGGAGCAGGTAGCCTTGCAGCCTCACCAGCGGTGCCGGGGTGGCCTGTGAATGCAGGAGGCTGCAGAGCCGCACGGCCCCCCTGTCCCTGCCCCCTCTGTGCACCTGGGAATGAAAGCTGGGACCTCGGCTTTTAAGCAATGTTTGGTCCCAGGTGTGGAGAAGCCGGGGTGCTTTTCTCGGGACAGCAGATTTGAGGCTAGAAGCCCCACAAGGCTAAGGAGGGGAATGACGGCAGCATTTGGAAAGGATGAAGTGCATGGGGACAGTAATGGAAGCAGCAGGCCTGAAGTGTAGGACGAGGATAAGGGAAGCTAAAGACCCCCGGCCAAGCACCAGGTGTGGCAGGGCCCATGGCAAGGGCAACAAAAGAAATCATGGCAGTGACTGCCTTGTGTGGCTCAGAGGTTGGACACGGGGTTTGTTTGGGCTGGTCTGGGCAGGGTTGATCCTGCCTCACGCGGGGCCTGGTCTGGATGTGGCCCCGGGGGCTCCCTGCCACCATCATGGCTCTATGATAACAGCCAACTACATCCTCCCAGCCAAGACTTTGTCTTCCCAGGTCTTAAACACCTCCAAGGATGGAGGCTCCACCACCGCTCTGAGAAGCCTGTTCCAGTGCTTCAGCACCCTTCTCAGGAGAGAGGTTTTTCCTAATGTCCAACCTCAACTTTCCTTTCTGCAGCTTGAGCCCATTGCTCCTTGTCCTGTCATCTGCCCCCACTGAGAACAGCCCAGCTCCATCCTCTGTGCAGCCCCCCGGCAGGGAGGTGAAGGCTGCTGTTCAATCCCCCTCGGTCTTCCCTTCTGCAGACTCAATCAGCCCAGTTCCCTCAGCCTCTCCTCACCAGTCCTGCCCCCCGGCTCCCCAACCATTTTCATTTCCCTCCGCTGGACTCTTTCCAACGTGTCCACATCCTTTCTGTAGCGGGGGGCCCACAGCTGGACACCGGACTCCAGATGTGGCCTCCCCAGTGCTGAATAGAGGGAAGAATCACTGCCCTCGATCTGCTGGCACCGCTCCTACCCATGCAGCCCAGGATTTCAGTCGCCTTCTTGGCACAAGGGCACACTGCTGGCTCCTGTCCAGCTTCTTGTCCCCTGTCCCCCCCCCCGGTCCTTTTCTGCAGAGCTGCTGCCCAGCCCGTCGCCCCGCCTGCCCCGGGGCAGGGGATTGCTCTTCCTCAGTGCAGGACTTTGCACTTGTCCTTGTTGAACCTCAAATCTCTGTGCGCAATGGGCCTGGTCACGTGCTGCTGGGCTGCTGTCCAGCTGCAGGAACAGGTTGAACAGGAACCTGTCCCAGCTAGTTCAGACATGCCTGGAGCAAGGGCTGGGCCGGCTGTGACCTGGGGATACCCAGCCCATCCGGGGGTCCCCAGGGCATGCAGCTGCTGTCCCTGATGTGGCAAGGCTCCCACCAGCACCCGGCTGTCTGCTCCACTAGCTGCTCTGGGCACAAGCCATGAAGGATGCCTGAGTTGAGAGCATTTCCCCGAGTGCCTGCTGTCCCCCCCGTCCCTGGGGCCTGGATAGCGCCTCACCGCCCTGCTTCTCCCTGAGCAAGGAACAGAAACGCTGAACGTGTCGCCTCTCCAGCAGCACCAGCTTCTTGGTATTTCTGCATCAGTATTTTACCTTCTGCAGCCAGGAACGACTGGAAGCGCTTTGTGCCTGTAGCGGGCTGGCTGGCGAAGGCTGGCAGCAGGCTGCACACGCCAGGCGGAGGAGTGTGCAGGCTTGCGGGGACCACAGCCGGACAAGCCGAACCGCAGGGCTGCCGGGAGGCCTGGGCCAGCGGCTGCAGATAACCGGTCGGCCGCAGGAGGTGAAAGGCTCCTAGGGAAGGGAGCTGGAGGAGACTGAGGCAGAAGAGAGCAGAAAGAGGAAGGAGGTAGCTGAAGGACGCTGCCCTTGAAGGTGTTTAAGACCCAGGTAGACAAAGTCCTGGCTGGGAGGATGTAGCTGGGGCTGGTCCTGCTTGGAGCAGGGGTTGGACTAGATGTGGCCTCCTGAGCTCCCTTCCAGCCCTCGTTGTCTGTGACCCTATGACTGAGTTAATTATCCCCAAACCCCGATGGGTGCAACATAGCTCCTTGCCTTCCACCTTTCCAGCTGTGGGGTCGGCTTGATGGTCTATAGCTTCCCTTATCGCTTTGCTACTTGATCTGTCTCCTTAGCACCAGTTTTACTATCTCCATCTGGTGACGGATGTATTGCTGCTAGTGGCTCCTTTGCTCCTTACAAAAGCACCTTTTTGTCCCCCTTTCCAGGCGTGGGCTTTTCCTTGATGGCCTTTAGCTTCCCTTATCAGTGCCCTGCGCTTCCTAACCCAGCGCTTGTTTTCCAGGCCCACAGGGATGTGAGGCCGTAATGGCCCAGTGCCGCATCCGGCCCTACGAGGACGGGGACTATGAAGCCGTGCGCACCATCTTTGCTGATGGGATCCATGAGATCGCCCCGGCCATGTGCTCCAAGCTGCTGAAGTCCCTGAAAACCCACCTCTTCCTCCTGGGGCTGTTCCTCGTGGGACTCGCCGCCTCCGGGTCCATCCTCCTCGCCCTGCTGCCCGTCGCGGTCATCCTGGTCGTGGCCTGGAGGTCGATGAAGTCCATAGTCACTGACTACGTGCAGCTGGCTCTGCGCACCGACCTGCAGGACATCCGTAGCACCTACCTGGGGGCCACCAACACCTGCCTGTGGGTGGCTGAGGCCGGCGGGGCCGTGGTGGGGCTGGTGGCCGCCGTCCAGCTGCAAGACCCGGCGGAGAGGGGCACTGCGCTGGAGCTGAAGCGCCTGTCGGTGCGGCAGGCGTACCGGGGCAGGGGCATCGCCCGGGCACTGTCCAGGACTGTGCTGCAGTTCGCCCAGGAGCACGGGTACCGGGCGGTCGTGCTGGAGACCTCCATGGTGCAGCACGCAGCCCAGCAGCTGTACGAGCGCCTGGGCTTTCGGCTGGTGGTGACCGAGAGCCCCTCGCTCCTCGCCCGCCTGCTCCAGTTCTACATCCTCCACTACCGCCTCGACATCCCCGCGGCACCCTGACACCTCCTGCAGAGCCACGGGGGCTGCAAGGTCTCCACCGACCCCATCCAGCTCCCCCGAGTTTGACCTTCAGTCTCCCGAACGCCAGCCGGGGAGCCCCCCTCGCCCAGGGTCCCGTCCCCCCACCAGCAGGAGTCGATGTTATCCCAACCCGGCAGTCCTAGAGCATTGCTTCTCACCCAGGTGCCAAGAGATCCTTTCAAGGGGATGCATGATACAGGCCCGTCACGTCTGCATGCGAATCGCGAGAAACCAGTCAAAATCCACAGGGTCACAACCCCCTGCACCGCTGGGACTGGCAGTTCATTGCCGTGAGGAATCGCTGTATTTCTCGGGGGTCAAGAAGCGTGACTCCTCAGAGCCGGCATTTCCTGGGGGTCCCTGAGCCGAGCAAGGGGTCCGTGGCTCCGCGGCAGTCCCTCCTGGGTGCTCAGCACGTCGGAGACGTCCTTGCCTGCTCTGCTGCGCGGCTTTACCTGGATCACAGATAACCCCGTGGGTTGGCTACGGGCAACAGGCAGCAGCAGATCCACAGCCCGGCCTTTTACTTGCTCACAGCTTAAGGCAGGAAAACAAACACTTCTCCCAGTGCAACAACTGTCCTCCGCCGGGGACGTGGGTCTGCTTGAACTGGCTCTTTCCAAATACACTTGTCTCCACAGTGACAGGCACCTGATGCTAATGGTCTGATGGCTCATCTTGGCTTAAATTTCCTTTCGGGCCTGGAACGAACCTGGCTTCTTGGGGCTGTGAAAGGTGTCGGGTTGTCAGGGTTTTCGGACATCCAAAAAGAAGGATCCCTTATTGCCTTCCCTCACCATGATGAGGCTCTGCTTGTCCTCAACCTGCAAACTGATGGTATCCATAAACAGGTGCGGCTTAGCGTTTTTATGAACAAAAAGCTGGAGATCGATGGTAGCAAAGCAGCAAGTAGCTCAGCTCTCGCACTGGCATCGCGGCCACGTGAAGCTGCAGCGACGATAGTGCACTCGGAGCAGGTAATGCCGGGTCCCCTCTTAGAGCGTCTCTTATCAGGCCAGGGTGGGCTGACGAGCGTCTCGTGGCTGGTTTGAGATGGTGTGCCGGGGGCTTCCTGTCGTACGCTGCCCGTGCAGCCGTCACAGCTGATCGGGGTCATGCTACCATCAGTCAGGTGCAGGCTTTGGGGGCCTCCCCTTCCCCGTCCTGCAGCCTGGCCTGGGCACCTTGCAAACGGCCAAGATTATCAACGAGCTTCCCGGAAACCCATCCCACGTGGCTCTGCCTGGCCCCTGAGTGAGGGGGCAAGACCCTCCAGCCGGGACCCTGCAGGGTCGGTGCCAGCAGGAGCATTGGCACAGCCCGGCCCATCCCCAGCCTGGCTGCAGCAGCACCAGCGCCCTAAACCCCCTGGCACGTGGAGCAGAAAGGGGAGAAGGGGGCAACCAGCACAGCCCAGAGCCTGGGTCCTCCCCACAGCAGAGCACGGGCATCACTGCACCTGGATCACCCCCCACCGCAGTGCCCGTCCAGCCGCTCCCTGACACCTCCAGTGATGGAGACTACCCCCTTCCCGGGCGTCTCTCCCAGCCTCGCTGCTCAGACAGGGATGAAGCATTTCCCAATTTCCAACCTAAACCTGCTTGGCTGCAGCTTCAAGCCCCAGAGCCGCATCCTGCTCTTGGCAGCCCGAGAAAGGCAGTTCTCCCTCTCTCCTTTCCGGCCGCTCTTCAGGGACTCAAGGGACCCGCGGCGCCCGCCAGAGCAGGGCCGGCTGGCTGGGAGCAGAGGTGGGAGGCATCTTTGTACTGTCCCTTCCCACCCCAGCACTGACCTTTGCAGGGGAGAGAGAAACAGCCTGGCTTCCCTAGACACGCCAGCACACACATGCATGCACACACACGCACATTCATGCATGCACATGCATGTGCACAGCCCGGATTCTTCACCCCAGGCAAAGGCAGCAGCGAGGGCTGCCCCTGCCCTGCACGGGAAGCCTCTGGTTTGACAAATCAGAGCCCGGGGGCCTCCTGCCCCACCAGGCCCAGCCAGACCCCGGGGCCCACCACGTGGCAGGGACAAGGGGCAGCTTGTTGGGCCCGTGTTGACCCGTGTGAGGCGCAGGGGGGCTGTGCACACAGGCCGGCTGTTTGCCGTCCTGCCTGGCATGGGGCTGGCGTGTTTATGTTGGAGCCCAGCTGGGCCCCGCGCCACCCTCCCCAGCCGCTTCCCCATGCTCAGGTGCTTCTGGCTTGGGCTGGATCCATCTCCTGCGCCCGGCGGGCACAGGGGAGGGGGTAGTGCATATACATGTGCACACACACTCATGCACATATGCACAAGACCTCTGCGCCCCCCAAGCCTGGCAGTGCCCCTCACTCCCGACCCGCAGCCCGCTGCCCACCATAACCTGCAGCCCCAACCGCCCACCCTTGTCTCCACCACCCCATTCAACACCCTGCCCTCCCTCCGACCACCCAGCCTCCCGCTCCGCAGCACCTGGCAGAGTCAAGTTCACCAGCAGACTCCAACCAGGGACCTGCAACCCCCCCCAACCTTCCCCTCCATGGGCTAGTACAAAGCCCAGTCCCGGTGAGAGTCTGGGCCAGGACCCGAGTCCTCCCCGAGTCGCACAGCAAGACCCCAAAGGCTCTGACCCCCTCCGCGGCTCCCAGCCCGACACGCTGCCGTGGGATGGGCAGAGCATGGAAAACCTACAGCCTTAAACCCTGCTACCTCCACTGCATGCGTGTGCACACGCATGTGTGGGTGTGTGCATGCTTCTCTCACCCCAGGAAAGACTCCCTCCCCACCCCCACCAAGTGGCTGCTCCCTAGCTCTGCGGCCCCCACCAGACTGGCTGCGCCACTGAAGGGCCTCCAGCTCCAGCCTGTCACTGCGAGGGACACAAGACAGGGAGCAAAACCCAGGTGTCCTGCGCCCCCACGGCCCATGGGGAGCCACGCTGAGGTACGAGCAGCAGCAGTAGGTTCTTACCCAAGGGCAATGGCTGCACACAGGAGCAGGCGCTGGCCCCATGAGATCACAGCTTTATTATCCAATCCTTACAGTCCTTAAAAACCCATCAGCTGCCACGGCCCCTGGTCCCAAACGGCTCCAGCCGGGCACCTGGCAATGGAGCAGCTGCCAGCCACATCCAGAGGACAGGGCTGGCTTGAGTGGAGCAGCAGAGCCCAGGGCCATGGCATGACCCAGATGGGCCCAGGTGGGACCCGACAGCCTCCGGCCCCAGCGGGATGCAGGCAGAGCAGGGGAGAACAGCTCAGTGTCCACATGCCGCACGGAGCATTGCACATGGCCCTGTAGTGTGCACACGGGGTCACGCCTGGCCCGCACAGAGCTGGGACCCTGAGACTCTGGAGGGGTGGGGGGACCCCCAGTAGCGGTGGGGGTGGGAAGGCAGGGGGCGGCTATAGGGGGCCCCGAGCGTCCGGGCCAAGGGCTGGCGGCGCCTGACGTGGTGGCGGGCACGGCCTGGGCGGCCCAGAGGGTAGGGCACACGGAGGAGCCCGGGGGTGGCACAGGCAGCACCTGAAGCGAGAAGAGGGCAGGGAAGAAAACACATCAGCATGGGTGGGGGGACGGGGCAGGTGACAGGCCACGCACACAGCACAGGAGTGTGCAACAGGCTCCGGGGACGCTGCCCTGCCCATGCATGTGCATGTATGTGCACATGCATGTACATTAACACACACACATGCATGTACACACAAACCTGCATGCACATACACATGGGGACTTGTGCACATACACACATGCAGGCCCTTGTGCACATGCACACACATATGCACACATACACATTGGCACTTGTGCACATACACATGTACCCTGGCGAAGGGTTTTTGAACCCGAAAGCTTGCTTAATAACTATTCTCCAACCATTTGGGTTGGTCTAATAAAAGATATCAAATTCACCCAAGGAACCTTGTCTGCACGTGTACACATGAGCACTCATGCACATACACATGGGAGGAGCTGTGAGGAGAGAGAGATCAGGGGCCGAGAGAAACACACGAGCATGCATGCGTGCACATGCATGTGCATTCACATGTACTCAAACATACTCCCACACGCACACACTTGTACACGTACACACACATGCATGCATACACGCACACACAGAGCAGGGGGTGCGGGCTGGGGCAGGCACCTACCTGGGGCACCGCTGCGGTCGAAGCTGATGTAGCCGGAGTTGGAGAGGCCAGGCAGCAGTGGGGTGTCCTCGTGGAAGAGGCTGCTCTCGGCAGCAAGCAGGGGAGGCGGGCAGGGGCCTGCTGGGAGCCCATAGGAAGCATGGGCCTCATCCTCCCACCGGCGGCTTGGTGGGGGGCGAGGGGTCTCAGGCACTGCATGGGACATGAGGAGGGGAATGCTGGAGCCGGCACCAAAGCCCTGGGTAGTAGAGCCATGTCCCGGCCCCCAAGAGGGATGGAAAAGGTCTTGCAACCCTCCTGCCTTCCCTGGGGGTGAGGCAGGATCTGGGCCCAAGCGGCTGCAGGCAGCACTGGGCCAAGAGCTGATGTCCAGATACAGGGGAGGGTGCTGGACAGGGGCAGCGATGGGGCCCCTCCCCACCCATGGCCCCGTGGAGGTGCCCCCAGTCCTTACCCCAAGGGCGGGCCGATGCTGCCCAGGGCTCCTGGGAGAAGCCGGCCCAGGCGTCCGGCGCCGGGTAATTGTCCTGGAAGGAACCTGAAGGGAAGGAGAAGCCAACCCATCAGTGCGTGGCTGCCCCTGCCCCCCATCCCTGGGCAACACCACAGCAGCAGGGTGGGCGCTCGGGGCACACGGGTCCAAGCAAAAGCCCTACCATAGGGACTCTGGGCTCCTGTGTCCTCTCTCACAGCACCCCTAACCTGCCCCCCGCCACCCTGCTACAGCCTGGACGGGCGGCTAGTCCAAGGATGGAGACTCCACCACGTCTCTGGGGAGCCTGTCCCAGTGCTTCAGCACCATGCTAGAGAGAAAGTTTTTCCTAATATCCAGCCTCAACTTCCCTTGCTGCAGCTTGAGCCCATTGCTCCTTCTGTCATCTGCCCCCACTGAGAACAGCCCAGCTCCATCCTCTTCGCAGCCGCCCTGCAGGGAGGTGAAGGCTGCCATTCAATCCCCCTCGGTCTTCTCTTCTCCAAACTAAATCACCCCACTTCCCCCAGCCTCTCCTCACCAGTTCTGTCCCCCAGCCCCACAACCATTTTCACTGCCCTCCACTGGACTCTCTCCAACTTGTCCACATCCTTTCTGCAGTGTGGCCCATAGCTGGACACAGGACTCCAGATGTGGCCTCCCCAGTGCTGAATAGAGGGGAGGAATCACTGCCCTCCATCTGCTGGCATTGCTCCTCCCAATGCAGCCCAGGATGCCGGTCGCCTTCTTGGCACAAGGGCACACTGCTGGCTCCTGTCCAGCTTCTTGTCCCCTGTCCCCCCCGGTCCTTTTCTGCAGAGCTGCTGCCCAGCCCGTCACCCCCCGCCTGCACCGGTGCATGGGATTGCCCCGTCCTAAGTGCAGGACTTTGCACATGTCCTTGTTGAACCTCATGAGATTCCTTTTGACCCACTCCTCCCATTTATTGAGGTCACTCTGAATCCTAGCCCTGCCCTCCAGCATATCTACTGCTCCCCCCAGCTTGGTGTCATCTGCAGACTTGCAGAGGGTGCACTGCCTCCCATCTTCCACGTTGTTGATGAAGACATTGAACAAAACTGGCCCTAGGACCGACCCCAAGGCACTGCACTTGGTACCAGCTGCCAACTAGACATCGAGCCATTGATTACTACCCTCTGTGCCTGATGCTCCAGCCAGCTTTCTATCCACCTTACAGTCCATTCATCCAACCCAGACTTCCTCAGCTTGCCTGCAAGAATGCTGTGGGAGACGGCATCATAATCCTTTGTAGAATAAAACAAACATGTAATAACCCACTTTATAGAGACCTGCTTTATAGTGAGGAGGTAACAAACCTCCTTCCTACAGCACAACTATAGAGTTACAAGACCACAGTGAAGCTTGATCCGCATTAGGCAGAGACTAACGTGACCTTTGGACTGGCATAAGTGAAGGTCATGATAGGGATCCTGTGGAGGTCTGAGCTGGGCAGCAAGGGGGGAAGTATCCATAACTGAATTAGGACAAGTCTGGGCTGAACATGGGGGAGATTTTTGTTCTGGCAAAAGACAAACAGCCCTGGGTGCCCCTTGGGATCTGCAAATAACCAGCGTCTGCTACAAGCTGCTGACTACACAGGGGGAAAGGTGGGCAAGGGGGGAAAGAGGAAACAGGCAGCCACGAGACATGAGGAAACAGTAAAAATCCAGAGGCTGACATGGACAAGTGATGGATGCACGAGACCAGCTACAAGCCAGAGCAGGAAAGGTGGCATCTGAGCAGATGACAGCAGCAAAGGAACGGAAAAGGGTCAAAGAGGAGGCGACCTGAAAAGCAACTGGGGCACGGGGAAGTGAAGCCAGCACCATGCACGTGTGCAGAAGCCCCATTGCCTGACAGCACCGGGCCAGCACGACGGCTCAGCCCACGTGTCGTGTGTGCTGCAGCTCTGCTGTGTTTGATCTCTCAATAACCCCGTGTATCCCTTCTGACCACAGAGGTCTGAGGTCTCGTTTACTGTTGCTGCCCTGGCCACCTGTGCAGCAGGTGTGACCTACTGCTAAAGCCAAGGTACAACATGCACACCCACATGCGTGTACACAGGCAAACTCATACACACACACACATATGCAGGTACGTGGGCTCATGCACGTACATGCACACATGAACATGCACTCATGCAGGTACACATCCCATGTACATGCCCGCGCTTGTACATGCAGACATGCACACTCAGGTATGTGTACACTCATGCACGTACAAACATGTACTCACAGTACATGTACACACACACACTTTTGGCTGTTCCCAGCCATGCCAGCCCCAACTCCTCACAGCACAATGGGGCAGGGCCCCAGGGAGCTGGGACATGTGGGGGGCACTTATCCACGCCTCCCCCTCCCCCCACACAAGGGTCCACAGTCAACAGCTGGGCCCAGCCCACCCTTGGGGTAGGGGGTCCCCAGAGCAGTGCCAGTCCCCATCCAAGGAGCACCCCCTGGGGGCTGCCCCAGGCCTAGTGCTTTGGGCAGGGGGCTCGTGGTGGGGGATGGGGGGCAGGGAGAGCCCCAGAGCGGGGCTGCGAGGAGTGCAGAGTAGGAACCACATACAAACAGGTACACAAGCATGTTTACACACATACATATGCATGTACAAGGTGGGCAGACAACTGGTCCAACAGCTGCAGGCAAAGGGGGAGCATTAAGGGGTCTGCGTCAGGATTGCAGGTTTCAAGTGGGGTCCCACAGGGTCTGTCCTGGGCCCGGTGCTGTTCCACGTGTCTATTAATTACATGGATGCTGGCATGGAGATAGAGCTACCTGAGTCAGTCTGTAGTTGACACAAAACCGGGCAGGATTGTGAATGCACTAGAGGATGTGAGCACAATTCAGAAGCATCTAAACAAACTGGAAAGCGGGGCTGGAGCGAATGGGATAAAGGTCACTGTGGATGAATGCACAGTGCTGCACAAGAATCAAACATGCAGATGCAAAATGGGGGAGCGTTGGGCTGAGCCTGAGCGTGGGGGCAAGACCCTCCAGCCAGGATCCAGCAGAGTTGATGCCACCAGGAGCATGGGCACAGCCCAGCCCCATCCCCAGCCTGGGCAGCGCCTCGGGGGGAGGCTTTAAAAAAAACCTGTGACACATGGAGCAACAGCTGGAGACAAATTCCTTTCTGGTCCAGAAGCCTAGGACATCCCCACAGCAGAGCACGGGCATCGCTGCACCTAGATCATCCCCCCAGTGCCCGTCCAGCCTCTCCATTAACCCTCCAGTGATGGAGAGTCCTCCCTGCCGTGGCATCTCTCCGAAGACCTCCCTGCTCTGACAATGAAATGTTTCCTGATCTCCAACCTAAACCTCCTTTGCTGCAACTTCAAGCCATAAGTCTGCATCCTCCCCTCTGCAGCAGGAGGGACCGGGTGCTTTCCCTCATCTCTCTGGCAGCCCTTCAGGAACTTGCAGGCTGCTGCCATGTCCCCTCTTAAGCGCCTTTCCCACCAGCTGAACCAGCCCAGCTCCTCCAGTCTCTCCTCCTACTGGAGCAGGAAGAGATTTCCCCCCTGCTCAGACTGGTGCACACTGGGGGTCTTGCCTTCCTCTGCAGAGGGGGCACGGCCTCGGCCTGGGGTTTCCTGACCTTTCATAGAAGCAGGACGTTGGCTGCTGCGGTTCCCCTGATTTACCTGGGGCAGGTTTTGGTACGAAGTCTACACTGTGTCAGGGTTCACGGCACTCGAGTAGAGCTTAGATGCTGGGTCTGTCTGGGCTGCTTTGGACAGGGCGGATCCTGCCCCAAGCAGGGGATTCGACCCAATGTGACCTCTGCAGCTCCCTGCCAGCCCCACTGCTCTATGTACACATGCACACCCGCGTGCACACATATACACACGATGCACAGACACATGTGCACTCACACCCTCACATGTACTTCCGCACACACTCGCATGCTCATGCAGGTACACACGCAAACACATGCACACACACATGCAAGCACACACAGACACACAGGCATAAATCCAACGGCATGCATAAGCACATGCATGCACTCACAGGCATGCATGCATGCAAGATGCATGCACAGGGCAGGGGCACAGGCTGGGGCAGGCACCTACCCAGGGCACCTCTGTGGTCAAAGCTGATGTAGCCAGAGCAGAAGGCACCGGAGCTGGAGGGGCCGGGCAGCAGCGGGGTGTCCTCGTGGAAGGGGCTGCTCTCAGCAGCAGGGTGGGGCAGGCAGGCACCTGCTGGGGGCCCATAGGGAGCCTGGGCTTCATCCTCCCACCGGAGGCCTGGGGGGTGCAGAGGGGTCTCTGGCGCTGCATGGGACATGAGAAGGGGGATGCTGGAGCCAGCGCCAAAGCCCTGGGCATTAGAACCCTGTCCTGGCCCCCAAGAGGGACAGCAAAGCCCTTGTAGCCCCCCTGCTTTCCCTGGGGGGTGCAGCCGGATCTGGGCCCAGGCAGCTCCAGGCAGCACCAGGTGAAGAGCCAACGTCCAGATACAGGGGAGGGCCTTGGACAGGGGTGGCAATGGGGTCCCTCCCAGGCCCTGGCCCCGTGGAGGTGCCCCCTGCCTGTGTCCCCCCTCCATAAGCCCCCAGTCCTTACCCCAGGGACGGGAGGGAGCTGCCCAGGGCTCCCAGGAGGAGCTGGCCCAGGCGTCCGGTGCCGGGTGATTGTCTTGGAAGGAACCTGAAGGGAAGGAGAAGCCAACCCATCAGTGCGTGGCTGCCCCTGCCCCCATCCTGCCCCCCATCCCCACCCAGCGGCTGTCACCCGCACTGGGCCCGAGCCCCCGTCCTGCTCCCATCATCCCTGTGGCTCCTGGAGCCGGCAATGAGACAGGAGGGAGGAAAACGGGTTCAGGGCATCACCCCGCTCCAGTGGCTGCAGCAGTTTGCTGGCGGAGCCCGGAGACCCCCTGGAGCTGCGGTTACCTCCAGTGCAGCCCACACAGCACGTGGCCACCGGCTGCACAGGGGCTGCGCAGCCCCGGCCTGATGCGTTCCTAAACCTACACAACAGCCCCGTACGCAGCTACTCAGCCTGTTGCTCACAGACACCCAGAGCCCCCACACCTGCCCCCTGTACCCAGGGAGAAGAGGACTGGCAGCATCCTGCTGCTGTCAGGGAGGTCATGGACTCTGCAGAGCCCAGGCCGAGGCCGTGCCCCGCTGCAGAGGAAGGGGAAACCCCACAGTGCAACCAGTCTGAGCAGGGGGGAAATCCCTTCCTGCCCCAGTGCAGCGCAGGGCTGAGCCTGAGCGCGGGGGCAAGACCCTCCCACCAGGACCCTGCGGGGTCGGTGCAGCAGGAGAGTTGGCCCAGCCCAGCCCCACCCCCAGCCCGGGCTGCAGCAGCACCAGCGCCACTGGGGCAGGATTAAAAACCCCTTGATGCCTGAAGCAGGAAGGGGAGACAGGGGCCACCAGCACAGCCCCAAAGCCTGGGACACCCTCATAACAGAGCACAGGCATCGCTGTGCCTCGAGCACCCCCCCCGGTGCCCATCCAGGTTCTCCCTGACACCTCCAGTGATGGAGAGTCCCCCCACCCCTCGTATCTCTCCCACAGGACAAAGCATTTCCTCATCTCCAACCTATTGACTATGACTTCAAGACACTGCTCCGTGTCCTGCTGTCTGCAGCCCTCCCAGAGCTGGAGGAGCTCCGTGCGGGTCAAGTGCAGCCTTCTCTGCCGCAGCTGGAGCTGCCCTTGATGGGGACCCCCCCAAGATCTCCCGTGCTTGGCCCAGCCCCAACGCAGTCGCGCAGCCAGACTCACGCAGCCGCCGCGTCTTGTCGGGGACGCGGACGCCCCAGGCGTCAGCCACGTGGGTGAGCAGCAGGTGGGAGAGCCACCGGTGCACGTGGCTGTTCCAGTGGATGCCGTCACGCTGGCGGTGGGGCGTGGCAAAGCGGAAGTGATAGTACAGGTCCAGCACGTCGAAGCCGCATCCGCCCGCCGCCATTGCACTGTAGAAGTTGCCCTCGATCACGTCTTCCCGCAGCCTCAGGGACAGGTGCTGAACCTGGGGGAGATGGCGGGGGGGGCGCAATCAGGGCTCCCGGCAGCAGGACATGGAGACCATCTGCCCCCCACCTGGCTGCACAGCAGATGTCCAGCTCCGAGCACCGGAGCGGAGCAGGGTGGGAAGACGGAGCCCTGCCCACACTCACCTCTGGGACAAGGAAGCCCCCGGAGACACGGCGCCCGAGCGGCAGGGCCATGTTCCAGATGAGCAGGCAGCTGGGGGGCAGCACCTTGGCGAGGCGGACGAAGGCGCGCTCCAGGTTCAGGCGGTACTGCTTCATGGAGCTGGAGCCGTACCTGGGGGGCAGCGGTCAAGGGTCAAAGACATGCCTCCTGCAGCGCCCTGCTGGCATCCCAGCTTCCCAGCACTGCCTCTGGGGCAACCACCACGGGGCGCCGGGGCTGCACGCAGGCTCTTAAAGGGCCAGCAAGGGGGGTTGGGGGCCACTCCACTGGGATAGGCAGTGGGAAAGCCACGGAGTGGAGCATGCAGCCCTCTAGCACGGCCATGCACAGAGGCCTGGCGCTGCCCCCTGCCAGGTGGCACCAGAGCCACTAATCTGTGTCCCGGCCCCCTGTACTGCAGGTAGAGTCTCCAGCAGCTCCCCCAGCAGCGGGGGCGGTGGGTGGTACCTGCTGACATCCCAGATGCAGGAGTTGATGATGACGAGGTCGGGCTGGGGCCCGGCCTGGAAGTCAGCCAGGATGCTCTCCAGGTAGTCGGAGTAGATGCGCGTGAGGAAGTAGAAGCGCACGAGGTGGTGGCCAGTGCGGTACTGCCGCACCTCCCGGTACCGCGTGCCGTTGTGCAGCTTGTCCAGCTGTCCTCCCTCCACCAGGCAGTCCTGCTCGAAGCTCAGCTCTCCCTGCGGCCGGGCCGGGCCAGGCCGGGGGACACAGGGATGCAGTCACATGTCTGCATGTGTGTGCATGCACACAGGCACATTCATGCACATAGATGCATGCATACACACACATGCACCCATGGGCATGCATGTATACACACATGTATGTGCACGCATACTCACACATGTGCACATGCACACGTATGTACACAGATGCATGCACACACGCATGTGCAGGCATGGACACACATGCACTTGCATATGCACACATGCACACAAGCACACGCATGTACACTCATATATGCACACACATGCACACACAACCCCCCAAGCAGCGAGAGCTGCAGTCTTCTGCTGTCCAGGGGGGCAATGCCCTCTAGCCGCTGCAGCCAGGCACCTTATCCTCACCCCTCCCCCTTCCTTGCCCCCCACCCTGGGGCTTGGGGAGCTCCCCCCACCCGGGCCTGGAGCCCTCCCTCGAGCCAGGTGGAGGAACAAAGGCCGCATGCTGCAGCCCATGGTCAAGCCCTACTCGTCCCACTCCGCTCCAGCGGCATCCTCTGCTCCTGACCAGACTCCCGAGCTGGGTTCAGACACATAGATTCATAGATGTTCGGGTCGGAAGGGACCTCAATAGACCATCGAGTCCGACCCCCTGCATAGGCAGGAAAGAGGGCTGGGTCTAGATGACCCCAGCCAGATGCATATACACC